TTACAAAAACACGACAAGCACTTGCATTATCTTTTTTTTTTCCCGAATGTAAATGCAATAGAAAATGATCACAAATGAAATACATCAAATATTTGGACATCACGAACATTCTGTGTTCGATAGATTGTAGTACCATGATGATGATGATGTTTGGTTTTGCGTGAAAAAAAAAAAAAAAATATGAGGAAGCGTATAATTTTACACACTAAATGTATGCATTTATACTTTGCGTGATTCTTTCTTCGCTCATATGACCCGACTATGACCTGTACAAGGAAAATAATTCAGTTTTTCTTTGTTTTTGGCTTTGTTTTTCGTGTTGAAGAAGAAAAAGAAGGAAATGGATATCTCTATGGGCTCAAGACCAATGGCCATAGTGATTGTGATTCCTCTTTTCTCTTCGGGCACCCAACATCATAATCAGCGTATGTTATTCATGATAACATTTTTAATTGATTGTAATTAAACATATCATGCCGTACATTTATTTCCACGGAATTCCATTTATAAATACCACAAAACAAAATCCATTTCCGAAATATACGATCACATCAAAACCAAACAAACACACAAAAAAAAATCATTCCACGATCTGCCAATTCAGGGGAGATTTGCCTGTCATTTATTTTAATTTGATAATAGACATCCAAGGCAATCCCATTATCCCGTTAAACTGCAAATGATACGTCTTATTTTCTCTATCTCCATCTCGTCTCGAATTATAACCGTCTTCGTTTTTTTTGCTTCTTTGATGATGATTTTTTTTCATTGGATCTATCTATTTGACAGTGTCAGGTCTCTCTCTCTCTCTTGTGACAGAGTAAAAAACACCTTCGGGCAGTATGCTGCCCATTAGCCGCCGTTGGCGTTAAATTTTACGGCTTTGTTCGGTTCACATCAAATTTGAACTAGTCACGAAACACGACATTTAATTCCATTCATGTCTTGATCATCATCAAAATCATCTGGTGTGCTTTGATTGTTTCTCCGTTGAATAACAAACGAAAGTATGCACACATAAAAATCGGATCGCTGTTTCGTGCGAACACTGTTTTGCGAATTATTAGAAAAAAATATTGAAGAGAGAAAAAAAGAAGCTGAAATGAGAATGCATGTACAAAATAAATAAGTGTCTCTCAAAATCAATATCAAAATATTGTGACGCATTTACAACATTCAAAAAGGCCTCCATTTCATTCAACAACAACAAAACAACTATGATGGTCATTTCCTTTTGCGATGCGATACGCGACCCATTCCAATTGAAATACTCTAATCGTTATTTAATATTTTTTTGATGTTAAGTATAGACACGAATTTGCAATTTGATGCGCTATTTCCTTGCATCTCCTACGCGCATGTATCGTGCATTAAGCCGACCGCAACAATTATTGCCCGTTGTTGTCTTTCTCTCTCTTGTCTGTCATTCATTTTATCTGAGTGAATTGTATTCGCCTCAATGCTTGACCGTTCAACAATAAAATGTGAAACCATGCCTTTGATTCTTCACTCTTTGGAAATTGCTATTTTTTTTTATCTAAATCACTTATTTTTTTATGGCTCATTATAAAATGGCAGAATTTTCGTTTCTATGCTGCTGTCGCCATAAAATTGAGGATTTTTTTTTTATTTGATTTTGAAGTGTCCTCAATGCACATGTTATAAATTTGACATTGGAACTGATAGTGACAACTCCATTCTCATATTCTCATGTGACGATTTCAATGTGTATTCATCGATTGTAATTGCTATCACAGCGAAGATTATGAGAATAAATTAATGAATTGAGAGGACGAAATAGTCACATTTTGAATTTGAAATTGGTAGTAATAATTACATCGCAAAATATATGGGAAATAAAAACAAAAGTCGATAGTCAAATAAGTTTTGCGAAATTCGACGTATTTGTAATTTATTAACGCCTAGGCTCTTTTTTGCGTTCTGCATAAATTAATTGCAGCATCAACGATTTAGACACACTTTTGATTTGCATTGAACAATTAATTATAACGATTACACAAACAAAAAACGCTTATTATTATCGTTCACTGTCACGTTTGAAAATGTAATTCTTATCATTAGAGAATGCTGAATGCAGGTGATTCAGTAAACAGCAAGCTATCTCTTTTGGACATTCCTTTGTCAAAAGTTTGAAAACGCATATTCACTTATCATGCTGCTTCTGTTTGTTCTTGGCGGGGACTTTAATTAGTCAAAAATATTTATTTACTTTGCAAAAAAATGAGAAAAATTTTTTATGTCCTCAATGCACATGTTATAAATTTAACATTGGGACTGATAGTGACAGTATTCCATTGGGTACGAAAAAACGGATTTGAAAAATGAATTAATCAAATGTGAGAATAAAAAACGAATTGAGAGGACGAAATAATAACATTTTGAATATGAAATCGGTAGTGATAATTACATTGCAAAACAAAAAAAAAGTCGGCAAGCAAATGAGTTTCGCGAAATTCGACATATTTGCAAATTATTAATGCCTGGAATTTCTTTTGATTTCTGCATAAATTAATTATCATATCTAAAAAAAATGATTGAGACGCACTTTTGCATCGCATTTAACAACTAATTGCGATGATCAATCACAGCACTCGATTATCGTTCACTGTCAATTTCTTTCGGCTTGTTTTTATCATTAGAGTATGGTGATTCAGTAAACAATAAACATGAGATTTTTTCGCATTTTTTCTGTTGTTTACAAATCAAAGAGAATGCACATTACATCACGCCAATTTAATGGATTACAATACACGTGTTGTTATTGGAATGCAAACGAGACTGAACGACAAAATAATTCTCGATAAATTCATCGTAATTTTCCACATTTTTCGATATCTCATTAATAATAATTGTTATTACGAATCAGTTCAATATGTTTTGTAATGTTTGACTACTGTTTTTTATATCGATGATATGCGGAATTGTTTTACATTTTCAACGCGTAAATGTTTTTTTTTTCCAACTCTGCTACTATTGTATTCAAATGATGAATCGGGTATTTTCTAGAAATCCATAAAAAAGCTAATTTATATACTGGTAAAAATGTTGTGCAAAGTGATGCGATCAAAGCGATTAGCTGCTTAAAATGATTGATTATCTGATGAAGTTCACGGTGATGATGCTACAGGTTTTTGCTAGTTTTCGCTCGTGTATACAATCAATTTGATTTGAATATGCATCAAGAGTGCGGCTAGGATGATCAAATGCGCGAAATGTGTATACTTATAAGCGCAGAGAGAAATAGATCTCAACAACAACGACATATCATAAATGCATTGTTGATGCGCGATCTCGCGCGCACACTCGTTGAGCTTCAGTTGTCTCTGTTATCTGTCGAACGGAGGGGCTTCAATGCCAAGTTCATGTTCACCAACTCACTGTGAATATAGATGTATAAATTTTTCTTCAATTTTTCTCATTTATTTGCGTCGCTACTGCTCATTATTTCATCTTTTTTTAGTTCTCACTAAATACGAACGTATTATTATTATTTTTTTTTTCACCTTACACAGTTTCATATTCACCCATTCTGTTATTTGAATTCGACGTCATAGTTGTTGTTATTGTTGTTTTTCTCGATTTAGTATGTGCTTTGCATTTGATCCGCATTTTTTCTACTTCTTTTGTATAATTTATTCATAGAAGCGATTTACTATTCGCTCGGCGAAGCCTTTTTTTCTCTCATCTCTTCTAAGTTTGTTTTTGAGCTCTTAAAAATAATACGCAGTATTAAGATGATATTGATTACATTGTTGTCGCGAGTTTTTTTTTTCTTCTTCATTTCAATAGTTTGAAGAAAACTTCTGTTTCTGCCGGCTTCACACGACCATTGTTTATCATACGATGAAGCGCGTTCTCAGCGACAAACAATGCTCGTTTTTTTCTTCATTTTTGCGATTCTTTCCTACTTCATTGGTAGTTTTTTCCGCATTCAACATGTGGAGCAGAGCAAAAAAAACCGTAACGCAACAATGCGTGCTTTGTCATCGCACATCGTCATAACATTTACGACACGCGGTTTGCTTTCATCACAATTTATGCGAATTTTACAAATTTGCTTTTTATTTGTGCGATCGATGTGACAACAACACAAAAAAAAACTGGGAGACGACAAAAAATCCACATTTCGAATTCAAAATCATTGAACTGATAGGCATTAGTGATGACAAATAAGGAGTTTGAAAATGTAGTTGCCATTTTTGAAATCATATTGATGCGGATACATTTCCACTTTCATGCTATTATTTATGATTATTCGATTTTGCCGACGATTGTTTGCTTGCCAGCAAGGCATATTGTTGATGGCGATGATGGGAAATGGTAAAAATGCAACGATTTACTCATAAAAATTACAAGATAATAGGTGCATAAAAAAGTGTGTGCCATACACTAATTATGGTTGTTGGTTAGATGAATTCAGTCATTCCAAAAACAAAAACATGCGCATTCATTTGTACCGCTTAGCCCTCCGGATGCATTGTTGCACATATCACAATTAAGATCGAAAGAAAAATAACAAACAACACCGTACTCTGTGATTCAATCAAAACAATAGAAAACCGTTGGTTTTGTTTGTTTGTTTTTTATGTAATAATGATTTTCTTGCGATCGCAATGTTGTTCTCGTTTTTTGAACCGTTTGCAGAGCAGTTTACACTCTCTTTCGCTCTTTCTTTCTCGCACACTCGCTTTGTTATGGGTAATTTTTTGTTTGTTTCTTTGTGGATTGTTGCATTCGCCTCGTTTGGGATGGTTTCAATTTGTTTTTCCATTTCTCTTTTTTCCAATGTTTCAATGCACTTCACTGTTTTTGGCGGCATTTTTTTCTTCTCTTCTTCTTCTTTTCGTTGCGTTTTCCATCGAGCGCAGTGTGTGGCACACAGGCTACCTTTCGATCAAACAATTCAACATATGATCAGTTATTTTCCAGACATCAATCGCATTGCACTTGATTGTTTTTGTGTTCGGTGTATTTAGTGTAATTTAAACGTGAATTGATCGTTTTCATTTTTTTTCCATTGATTTTCGTGTTTAATCTTGTGTTTTAACAAATCAATAGAAAACGAAAAGTTCTGCTCCGCAACAAACGTTCAATTAACATCCAATTTGATAGAGTGTGTTTGATTCACACCAAATTCAAGACCAATTAAAATCCATTCGTTACACGAGCTGCTGCTAATTTCAATTCGCATCTCAAACTGTTTGCACATATTTCAATTTGGCGCTTATTGATTTGTGCATAAATTTTTCATTGATTTTAGTTTTTGGATTCAGTTGTGGTCGCTGTTGGAAAATGTTCTTAAACATAGATAACATCTTTACCCTGGATTACAGAGATGGTGCGAATCGAAAGAGTTTTTTTTTTTTTTGTTAAATTTCATTATTTATTTATTCGGTTTGTTTTTATCTGCAAGAATATCAATAAATTATTCATTGGCATACACTTCAAAGTACAGATGGATTTTTTGGCAGAAACCAACAACAACGAGTAAAAAGTGAGAGAGATACAAAAGACAGACCGTGACAGTCAACAGATGGTCAATCAGGACGTTTGCATTTTATTACAAATCTGACAAAGTGTTTGTATATCTATATAACGATCACAGTCTGAACTCGTTCTCAATTTGTGTTTTGTGCATGATGAAAATATACGTAAAAGCTCAACTAAAACAAAAAAAAAAACGAACAACAACGAAAAATATTTCAAAATCCACACTCAAAGGAATCATAAAAACAATATATCGTCTGCGAAATGTTCGCTTCGAAATTTGTTTGTCAAATTTATCTAGTGCGTCAGTCATTTTGGGAGATGAGTGCAAGGCACACAATATATAAAAAAACTGTATAACTAAGGAAAATAGAGGGAAGGAGCGAATGTTTCGAATTAGTAACCAGTATAGAAGTGGTACTTGAATTGTTAAAGCAATAAACAAATAAAATGGCAAATGCTCAAAATCGGTTCAATCGTCTGTGAAACAAGCAATTTTCGGGCGCACATACAATTGTTATGGCCTGTGTTTATGTGTACTTTCGAGCGGTTGAACTGTCTGCATTAGTCAATTTTTATTTGTCGTTTTTCGATGGGGCCTCAAGTAATTTGCTAAAATAAAAATAGAAACTCTCTTTATACAGTTGAAAAATTGGCTGGCAATTGAGTCTCTCTCGGTTGATTCGGCAGCTTGTGTAAAACCACTAACGGACATACATGGCTGTACAATTGAAGACGCAAAACCAACAACTCGTACATTTGTGTTGTGTGTTGAAATGATGAAACTTCGTTAGAAATGAAAAACTGCACTAAATATTCACGCTCCAAAACCGAAACCATATGTATTGAGGAAATAAGACGAATGCATTTGTGTTAGGAATTTTTTTTTCGTCTGAAATTCAATTGATTGAATTTGGGTCATGAACTTTTCATATTGAATTTTATTTTCAATGTTGATACAATATTTCATTTTACCACTTGTGCCGTATCAATTTTCTTTTTTATGCGATCAATCGCTTCAATATCAATTTGATCGCATCTTCAAATTCAACTGATAATATATCACAACCAGACAGCCAGGCACACACACACACACAAGTACATATAAAATAAACAATGTTAACAAGACAATATATGTTTTCATTGAGAATTCCATAATCGTGTTAAGTACTACCCGTACTACCTAGTTCAACTACTGTACTCGTATGTAACATATGTAATTGCACTTCATAATTCTCTCACTCTCTTCACATATCTCTTTTATCTTGTGCGTTCATAGCCAAAAGCGTACGACACAATCGCCCGCTTATTCGTTCATTTCGTTCGTCTCTCATTTTCAACTGTGCTCGTTTGCTTCTCACGCAATATGAGCACCGATGTGTTGTTGTTGGCTTTTTTTTCTTCTTTTATTCTCAAATCATATTGATGCTTAACCGTTGAAACAATATTGCTCTAAATAATAATTTGTTGTTGTTGGTATTGCTGCTGTTCGGTAGCTACCTGAGAGTACGAGTCTTATGTGCATGTGGGTTTTTGATTCTCGTAATTAATCCACCAAATCGCTTTTATCTCATTTAAGCGACGTGCACACAAAAATAATGTGTGTGTGTGTGTACATGTATCTCTATGTGAAATGAGAGCAATCGACGTAATTGTATCATAATAATAATCTTGCCAATGAATTATCTTATTGTTTGAATCGGAGCTTTTTGGATTTTATGGTATAAATATGCGCCACATATATCAGGCATGAGTGCGTTGTTTGATACGTTTTCTAAAATCAAATATTTCGTGCGTTGTTTGATAATGACGGTCAAGTGCTTTAAATTGTTTGATAATGGATTTGATTTTTTTTCATCGTTATATTTACACTTCTTTCTTCTTCTTTTTCTTTCTTTATTACAGGCGTTAATCGTATCATTGGTGTCAGTGACATCACAAACAATCGTAAAATCTTGAAGATCCTATTGGCCGAATTTTTGGGAGCATTCTTTTTGGTATCGGTTGGCATTGCCAGTACAAGTGGTGACCGTCAATGGTCTGCGGGTTATTCGCCGAGCATGGTTCAAATTGCCTTCACATTTGGATTGGTCGTTGCAACGCTTGCACAGGTAAAAACTAGACAACAAAAAAAAACATATTACAATTTCAGACTTTTCCACATTTTTGTCTTTCATTTATCCTCCCCCTTCCCACACACACACATGACATACAAAAAAAATCAGCACATTTTTTTATTTGACGCCATGATTCATTTAGCTATCAAAACCATAATAAAAGTGCAGCCCATTAAAGTCGTTAAATAATAAACGACGATCATCGAATCGATCAAGTCAACTACAGACCGCAATCATTGCACGATCATTTCGTTTCATTCAAAAGCATTTTACAAGAAAACGAGTAATGTGAGCAAATAGGTGTTTTCATAAATGGTTAGAACAAACACTCAACTGAACTTTATTACGATCTAAAACCAAGCGATTGAAGATGATAAAGGAGATGAAAAAAAAAGCGATTCAACAACCTAGAAACGCAAAAATGATAATGAAACCAAATATATGGCAAGCAAAAAAAGAAGAAATTGCACTGAATTGCTGTACAGCCAGTGTTAATATAATTTTTTGTACATATTTACATTGAACAGATTTTGTGGAATTAATTTGTTTTACTCATATCGCACACAACGATGATAAAGCCCAATGGTTTGCGTACATTTTCTATCTCTCTCCGCTCTCTTATTTGCCGACAAAATTACGGCAGCGACAACAACATAATCAAAAACACCTTATGGCCATTTTTTTTGTTCGGAAATTTGAGTGCTCTAATTATACATTTAACTGGTTGCTCTTTTTCAATTTAACATTTTCGTTTTGAACTCAGTGTTGAGATTTTTTCTCATTTCTTTTGGGTTCCTTCGTTTTTGTACCAATAATATCAATAACACTTGTTTAACTTTAACTTTATTCACTGTTCACTCTCTCCCATTCTCGCTCACCGTTTCTGCATTTCGGTTTCGATCTCAAACTGTATAAGTACTTGAGATGGAATTATGGAACGTGCACGCGACTATCATATGCCACCTTGTATATATGTCTGTATTACAAATAGCGGCAATTATGACGTGCGTGTATGTACACGGATGATCTTACCGAAAGAATGAAACAAGGTGAATACGTATACATTTTATTTCTCATTATTTGGACCTAGATTTGGACACCATTTTTTGTTGGCTGTTATTTATTTTTCATCGTTTTTGTGTAGAAACGTGCACCCTTTCATGTACCGCTAAAGCGCGTACACACAACGCATTTATTTCTGATAAGAATCAATTCAAATGAAAGAAATGCCCAAATATTTTATCAATAATTATGTGAATATATTAAATGACATTGTTTTAAATGGGCCCGTGCAAATCACATACACACGGTCAGTAATTATGAACATTTTTAATTACATGAACGTTAAAATATATGATCAAAGATTTTCATCAAACAATTATTTTAATAAATTGTTGAAAAGAATCGTCATAAAGAATGAAAAATTTCGACGTTGACCATGGGTTCCAGTTTTGTTTGGGCCAGTTCAAATGCAAAGAATTGATCACATTTATGATTTAATTTCTTTAAATTTCAAAAGTCATTCTGGACTTATTTACAGCGAGCGGGAGGGAAAAAAACCTTCGAACAACTTGACCTGCATACGATTTTTATTAATCAGTTTTATATGAAGCTCATGAAATTTTGTAAAAATTAAATACAACGATTTCATCTTTATGCATGACTATGACCACACTTCACACCACCAGCATCATCATCATCATCATCACCATCATCATCACATCTGAACAATCAAAGCAATCGTGTGTCACCGATTTTTTCGAAGCGCTATCAAGTCGAGATGAAGTATGAATGAGTGAAGTAAAAAAAAGGCCACGAGGCTTGTATGCATTCCACAAAAATAGCAACAGAGTATGCTCATTGACATACTCAAGTGACCAATCGCCAATTATTCAATTACTAAACAATATAGTAACAGTGAGAAGTGAAGAGAAACTAAATCGAACCAACTTTGTGTTGCTTTAGGGTTGAGTTTCCATTCACCAGCGGTGTTTGTGTGGCAGTCTTGTATTGTGTGTATGGTTTTCTTGTGAATGGGTCTTGAATTGAGACATTCAAACCATAACTAGAATCAAATATACACAAAATGAGAGACGGCGTACGATCAACAAATGAACAAAACACAACAAATGCGGTGCAAAAGTTAATTACATGTTGTTGATTAATAGAAATTGAAACAAAAACAAAAACCAAAACAAATTGAAAGCATAAATTCCAAGAAATTTACTTGTTGATTTTTTTTGGCGCACAATTTTTTGTTTATCAGCTTCAACAAATCACAATGAATGATTCATTTTTCTTTTTGGTTTTGTTGTTGTTGTTTTGCGTGCGATCGAAATTTAATTTTGATTTCAAAATTGAGCCGGCTCAACAATCATAATGGAAATGCCTGTAAAATACAAAAGGTGTGGTCTTGAAGTGTTCGATTTGTTTGTATGTGTGTGTGTGTGTTCGAGATGTTTTTTTTATTGTGCGAGAGTGCGAACAAATTTTACGCAATTCACTTGAGGAGAGAATGAGCAAAAACGTACAAATGCCTTGGTTAAAGATCAACGGCATGGGATTTCTTGCATAAATCTTTCAGATTATCATTATTCTAGATGGCAACAGAAAAAAAAGCATTATTCAATTACATATGGCAATGTATAGCAAATTTAGTGTACGACTGCAGAAAGTTTAAGGTTTTGTATTTGTTTCGGCTCCAGAGATTTTAAGAAGAAAAAAAAAACAATATCAATGAAATTTAAACTCTGGCATTTTTCCCTCTCGCTAAAAGTTAAATGTTAATCTTCAAGCACTAAATCGGAATTTCAAGCGAAAGGCACTTGAGCTGATGGAAGAATAAGAAGAAGACAATATTGTATTTTTTTTTATTGTTCAATTCTAATCACATATACACAATAGATACAAGTCGATTTCATTGTTTCAAATAGTAATTACAGTGTCTGCACTTAAGTGTCTACAATATTACGTTCGGCATATATCACATATCAGCCATTTCAATCTTTTAAATAAATGGGGAGGGCGTACAACGGTATGCTTTTCAATCAAATCAAAACTGATTTTCAGCCAAAAATTAATCATTTTGTCATAGGGTAATCGTTGCACCTTGATTGAGTCATCGAGCTTTTATAAGAATAGATTTTTAATCATTCTTTGTATAGCATACTCGTGGTGCAAACAAAAACAAATTAACTCGTCTAAAATCATTTATTTCGTGAGCTCTCTAGTTTAGTACACACTCAGCTGCTAAAAACATATACACACATCCATTCGAAAAAAAAAAGATTATTAGTAAATTAATGGTGTATTTTCATTGGTGGAAGGTCAAAGATTTCCATGTGCAATAAAATATGGTTATCAAACGTTTAACACGCAACATTCTATATTATTCACAATCAAATGGGAATATGTGCTTGATGTTGGTCGAAAATGTTGTATACAAATATAAATCCTTGCTTCATTTGCACAAAATCTAATTATAGAAAATGTGTTGTTCCTTCCGAAACATTACCGTTTTACATTTATTTGGCTGGCTGACTGGTTTAATGTTGTTGCCGTCGGTTGGTCGTCTTCAGCCAAAACGGTTGATTTCGATTTAAATTAATTCGTAACACAAAAACACTTTCGATCGTATTGTTCATTTAACCAAGACATGTACACATAACGAAGGTGCTAGAGAGAGCCAACTTGAACACGAACAGTAATTATAAAATCCGTTTGCATGCCATTGTCCATATATTTATACTCTTTTCGGCTAATCAAATCGCATTTTTTTTCTGTTGACACACCTTGAATGAATGCAACATTTTGGCAGAAAACCGATAGAGACGACATTTGCTTTCGTTCGGCATGTTTACATATCACAAAAAAAAAACAAACAAACAATCAGAAACAATCGATACGTGTATCCATAAGACAAGGTCACAAGCACATGATAAAATAAACTAAATCGATCTAAATGGAGGAATCGATAGAAAAAAAGACAAAAATTAAAACTAACGTGTTGTTAGCACGTAATTTGTAACGAAAATTTTCCACACAGATAAAACATTGGAACTTCCGACACGTTTTTTCATCCAAATTAATTGACTCAGTGATGGAAAATAATACTCAAAGTTCGAAACAAATGTGCAAATAATTGATGGAATAGCAAACCAAAAATTTAGTCATTTCGATGATTTCAAACATTGTGCTCGTACACAATGCTATGATAAGTGGTTTTTAACATGTTTTGTAGGGCTTAATATTCGATAATCTTTTATATGTTATAGAAAGCGATCGTCTCACGTGTGTAAATATTAAGTCATATTGCTAAACTTGGCTTGGAACAAATCACCACATCATATAGACGGTGTAAATGAATTTGTTTTGATGGATTTTGAGCGTACACACGAATTTTGTTGGTAGAGTCGGCAATCACAAGAACCGATCAAGTGGCAAAAATGCGCTGCATTCTATATCCAATATTTCCATAATTTGCACATGCTCTTAAATTAATCGTTAATTCAATAGTAATTGATTAGCATCAAAATTCAATATAAATGCTGTTCAAAAACTTAATGCAATTACGATTAATAGCATATTTGGATAGAACGGAAATTAATTTATATTATGGAAATATTTGAATATATATATTAGTTTTATATTCAAATATGAATGTCTGTCCGGCGAAAGAGCAATGTATTATATAATGTTTATGAATTTTATTCTCTATAATCAAAATTGAATGAGTTGATGCAAGAAAGAGAGAGAGAGAGAGAAACGGCAAATTAAACATGAATAAAACATGAAATGTGCGCTCGAGCAGGCCTGTTTGTCAATGCAAGTCATTCACTTCTCTATTGAAATTTTCTCAATCATATCAATGTCAGTGGACCGAACAAAACGCAATTTAAACCCGTCTATATTCACCTGATTTTTTTTTCTCATTTCATACGCAATCTGCGTTTATACGATCATTGCACTCGAATGCAATACCACAATATTCAATCACTTTGGAAAATTGGCAGTTTTTTCCCGCGTACGCTCCTCACTCTTGTTCGTAGAAGAAATGAACGACAAAAAAAGCAATGGTTTGATAGATGACAGAAAAAACCAGGCATGAAATTTTCAACTGATGATTAATTGATCGTGCAATGACGATTCAGAAATTATTCTATGTCAAAAATCGCATGAGAAAAATATTGTTATTTTTTTTAAATATTTTTTTTTTTTGTTCACCAAAACCAAATCAGATCAAATATGAAGAAGAAAATGAATGTATTTTTTCGCTAAAAATGAATGCGAAAACGGTACTCGATAAATGATATTTGACAAATGTTCTTCGATCAATATATGGTTTCGTTTGTTGCGAGATACAGTGTGATCGTTGATCGCAATAAAAGACTGCGTGTATGGGGTACACGCTTTTTTTATTTTCATTTTTTTGTTGTTGCCTTCTTTATACTTTGCGGCATCGCACTTAATCATAAACAATGTAATTTTTTTTGTATGTATTTGTATGTAAGTGTGCGTAAATTTTTTTTAAAGCAGCGCTTATTCTCACTTTATAAAGAAACATAAAAAAATTAAAGCGTCTATTAAGTGTAGCAAATGTAATGACACATACACTCAAAAATGGCAACAACAAAAAATTTACTGTATGCAGTAACCAATAATAAAAAAACAGGCTGAATGTTGCGCGCGAACTGAGAAAACGGTGTGCATTAAAAAGTTATTAAAAGAGTTGCTTGAACTTTTGATCTGAATTAAGTGTGGCACTGTATAAATGTGTAAGTGCAATGCCGATGCAAGATCGATTTGAAACAAACAAACAAACAAAATATTGCACATTAAAGGTAATATTGGTAAACCGTGATGCTTTTTTTCGCTTCATCAAACTAAAAATGGTTCGGTAAACAAAGTTAATCTTTTGGCATGATACAAATTTGATTCGTATAATGGATTTTTTTGTGATAACATAATGTTACATGTCACACCGTTCAATTGTGAATGTGACATGTCACACCTTGCATGCACAAGCTGAATGTAACTTGTTAAATGGTTTATAATTGAATAAACCAACAAGGGAATAAACTTTATGGTTGCTATAATAATGGGCTTGGTAAAACGGAAATGAGGAGACCAACCACTTTCATTTTCTACACTTTTGTTTCTTTCCATTTGGGGAGAAGAAGGAGTGCCGTGCCCACAACAAGGTGTCAGAAAAATAAATGAAACGATAAATAAAATGTGTAAAGACAAAAATATAACCAAATTAATTAAAGCAAATGGAAAAATCCATGTGAAAGATAAATGATTCATTCAACATTCGTTCGTTGAAGAAAAAAAAATATCACAACTTTTTTTTTGTTTCGTTGGAGAAAAAAGTGTCGCGCGCGCAGAAAAAATGAGTGCAAGACAAGAAACAGCAAAATGTAAATTCTAATTTATTAATTGGAATTTAGAACTTCTAGAATGAATGGGTTGCGAATGGAACACACGCATTTAATGTTCTCTGTGACCAACACTTTACGTGTAGTTTTATTAATGAATGCACAGCTTGTGTAACAGCAAAAAAAGCCACTGGAAATGACAACAATATCGACATCAAGCCACAAAATGTACGATAGCAGTGCTCAGGCATCAGGTGCGCATTGAACTTCATAGTCGAACTTTATGTCTATTTGAGACACTTTTTACACTTAACACTTTGTCAGCGAATAAAAATTGAAACGAAACAACAACAAAATCGCTTGCAGAAAATCGATCCAAGTCCATGTGCAATGCAAATGCTCGAGCACATTTATAAACAAGGCGAAGAAATCAGTGCAAACAAAAAATTAAACAACCACTGCGTTCAATAGACGTTTTGCAATGAGAATGCTTTGGTGATTGGTTAGTACACATTTTCATAAGCGTGATATACGCAATGCATACGGTCAAACGACTCGTTTCGTTATTCACCAATTATGTGTTCAAATGTTTCGGCCACTTCGAACGCACAACTTCAACGATTAAACAATTTTGAACTAAATCTAGTTTTCAGTCGGCGTGTATCGATGAGAGTGAGTTTTTACTCATTCTCGATCATTTGATCGTTTATTTTTATAAGTGTAAGGTCAGATGTCTTTTTTTTTGCAACATTTTTTTAAGTCGTTTCATTTGCACTCTTTACTAAGGTTGTTACTAATTTTGAACCATTTTAACGGTCCCAAACACACTTTTTATTAAAGATTTACATTTTTCATATAACTTGTTGAATTTGTATACGATCGTTCTCACAATTCTTCTCTTATAATGTGCAATAATTGGTTATTTTTTGGATATATTTTATTAGGCTTTTGGGCATATTAGCGGATGTCACATTAATCCAGCTGTTACATGTGGTTTGATGATCAGTGGTAATTGCAGCATTTTAAAGGCAGTTGTTTATATTATTGCACAATGCTTGGGTGCCACAGCCGGTGCAGCTGTTATCAAAGTGAGTCAATCTTTTTCCCTTTATTTATGTGCACTTTTTAGAGGATTTAACAAAAATCACTTTAAAAAAATTGTGTCAAATTAATATTTATCTAATTCTAACAAAACTGTTTAGTTCGCCACTCCAGAGAATATTTTGAATCACAATTTGGGCCTTACCAAGCTAGGCAGCAATATGGAACCCGCCCAAGGTGTAGTCATTGAAGCATTGATTACGTTTATGTTGGTCTTTGTTGTGCATGGCGTATGCGATGAACGTCGCAATGACATCAAAGGATCGGCTCCATTGGCAATTGGACTATCGATCACTGCTGGTCACTTGGCTGCCGTACGTATTTTTTTTGTTGTTGACTATTTTCCAATTTGCGTGCTCTCACACGTATACATATCAAAATAAAAATGCTTTCATGCTATAGATTCAATATACTGGCGCAAGTATGAATCCAGCACGTACATTCGGACCAGCACTTGTAGAGGGTTTCTGGGATAATCAATGGGTATGTGCACACATAAATTAAACAATTGCATGCAATAAATCAAAATGTTATATTGTATTCGGCAAATGTTTTTTACAGGTCTACTGGGTTGGTCCAATCGCTGGTGGTATTTTGGCTGGTGCAATTTACCGAACCTTATTCCAAGTGCGCAAAGGTGATGGAGACGCTTCGTCTTATGATTTCTAAGCACGTTTGCTTCTTGTTATTATTACTATTATTATAATTATTATTTTTGAATCTATTACAAAAAGAAAAAAAAATCCCTCTAATATCATTTGTTCACTTGTAAATAAATTATCGATTTATTGTTTTCTTGCGAATAGAATTTAGTTTCAATTATTAAAGTGAATGATAAAAACAAAGTACAGCAACAACCAATTCATTTTAAACAGCATCCAAAGACGGAGCATTTTTCGTTTGGTTTTTTTTCCTTCTCCATTTTTCTGATTTGCATGTGGTTATTTTATTTTTTATTGTTCTCATAACATTACGTTCAGGTTTATTACAATGTGTGTTTTCTGCATGCAAGTCAAATTGTTGCTTTTTTTTTCAAACTTATAAACACAATGTTTATATTATTTCCTGTTTTCCGAATATTTTAGGACCCGATACAGAATCAGCATAGAGCTGATCCCACAAATCATTCATAAAATTAAACAAAATTCATTTTGTTTATCTCCCGTGAATGAAAAACAAGAACAAAAATTGAACGTAAAAAACGTTTCTCTTAATAATTACTTAATCGGAGCAGGACGATCAAAAACATCTTCAGGGGATAAAAACAAACAAGATAAAATTGTGTATCGCACTATTTTATTTGCATTAACAAAACTGCTTTCAGAAAATAAATGACAAATATGTATTTTTGCGGTTTTCTTTTGGTCACACCAATTTGTCAATGTTTTAAATGTCGACGTTAGTTTAGTTTAATTTTTAAATATAATCACATTAACATTAAATTTATCTATAAATTTTACTGTAATACAAATTCAAAAATTCAATAAAACAATACAAATTAAATGTTAAAAAAATGAAATTGACGGTTTGAAATTTTCTTTTTCATCCATTTTCATGAAGTTGTTTCAGTGAAAAGATCGATAATTATAATAATATATAATCTCTTAATTTTTGTGTTTGATCGAGCAGCTTCAACATATTCAGCGAATGCCAGAACATTTCCCGAAAATTCGTAAAATCTTCATTAGAATAGAAACGCAAAATAAAAATAATTTTAGACAACAAATCGAAACCAGAAAAAAAATATTTAATTTTTGTTGTTGTTCTAAAAAGTTTATATAAAATAAAATCAAATTAGCTGGAAAACGAAAAAAAAAAACATTTTCATAAATCGAATCATACGCTCAGTGATCAAAGAAAAATTCAAATATTTGAATTATGTCTCTTTCTCTCTCTCTCTTTCTTTCCAAATTTCATTATGGCCAACCAACTTCACTCCAGTTCAGTGTGCAGCTGTCACATGTTGACATAGCAAAATTGAATTTCAGCTGTTGACTGTGATGAAAATAAACCGCACCACAATAAATCATTTTTGGCTTTGTTGTAAAGTGAGATATAGTGGATGCGGTAGCAGGATGGACTCAACGAAAAGAGATGATTTCATCTGTGTGACAAATAGAACACAATTAAACTTCAATCATATGAGAAATCGTGAAGATTTATCCGACATTAATTTACGTTGTGATCGGAGAGAGTTTCGTGTGCATCGTTTCTTATTGGCTGCGTGTAGTCCATATTTTAAGTCTTTGTTCGAAAGACGTGCCAATACCAAATTAAATATTGTACTTAGTAATGTTAATGGTTATGATATGGACCATGTACTGACTTACATGTACGCTGGTCGTGTTAATATAAAAGACGCTGATATTCAGGGATTTTGTGAGCTACTAGAACTGTTTTTGATGCCATTGCCCGATGGTATTGACGTCGTTGATGAAATAGACCCCAAAAAAGAGAAAGCTGACCGTAAAAGACGTGCTCAACCTGAATCTAATGGTAATGATAAAACGAACAAATCATTGAATATCTAAATAAAATTTTATGCTTATCCTTCCATACAGATGACGAATACTATGAATTCGTAAAATGTATGCGTAATCGCTTAGAATCTTTGAACAAAGATAATCTGGAAACCCAAGCGTCCGAGCTATTAGATATGATTGAATTAATTGAAGAAATGGATATACTATTGGATTTGATATTGCGATCGGTCATACAGCCAAAATTCAATCCAGTCAACCACTTGATTGTTCCACTGGTGAAATATATTTGTGATCAGGATCCGAATGAATGTGACGATACGCTTTACTTTCGTGAAACTCTACGTGTGAAATCATTGAAACTATTCTTAAGGGTCAACAAAAGTCTTGTACAACATCAAGTAGTTGTGTTACCAAATGTTACAAATTCCCTAGATTTACAAGTCAATCTTATGGAATCAGTTGATATGTATTGTGCACCGTTGCGACTTCAACGTCTTGCCCATTTTATCGGCCATTTAGTACAAATGGATATAGTAAGCCGGGAAGAACTGAAGGATTTTATCGATCAGAATACGTTTTTGGAAGAAATCCTTGGCGAAAAACATGAAGACGAAAACTGTTGCGATTTTGAATTGAATCCACTCGCTCGAAAAATTCTTGACGATAAATGGTATGCCAGTGGGGGCACTTAAAAATTACTTATTAATTATTATTGATTGTTTTACGATTATTTTCCGATTACTTATCGATTATTTTGAATTTTATTCTTTTCTTTTGTGATTGTCCCCTTAGGTATGCCAGTGAGCATATCACATATGACAGTATTAAATCAACGGAAAATCACATCTTCTGGTGCCGAAACGAGGTAAAACATTTGCATGAGCTTTGCCATTTTCAAGATAATTTAATTTAAATTATTGAACATTTTTTCTGTGTAGCTTGTTCTCGGATCGAATTCAAGTGGAATTAGTTACATAAAAAAGCCAAATAAACCACGAAAACGAAATAAAGACAAAAAGAAGAAGAAAAAGCATAAAAGCATCAAAGCAAAGAAGTAACAAGACGAGTATAGCCGATTTTTTTTGTACAAACATTGTTATTTAATATTTCAAGAGAACTTCCTTCAATTATATTTTTCACTTCAATATACAAAGCAAATATAACATGAAGTATTTTTTTACACAAAAAATATTTTTTTTTTTTTTGCCATTTAATATGGTATAAACGAGTAGTTCATATAGAGAAGTAAAACATTTGGAAGGAAATGCTTACAATTAACAATGACATTATTGTGTTCTTGCAGTACAATTTTGTCAGATGTGAACTGAAATTGACAAAATTTCGTCAGTGGCTTTTACAACTTTATATTGAAGTTGGGTTTTGTTTGTTGTTGTTTTTTTCTACAGGTAAGTTGTGGTCCAGATGGGGAAGTAAATGAAAGAAATTTTTTTTTAATCAAAAGAAAAATTCAGAAAACGAACCAGAATTCGAATGCCCCGAAATGGAATTCAATTTTGAAGAGCTAAAAGAATGACATTGCAAAGACTTCAAAAAGAATATGAATCCAGTCTCGATAAATTTCATGTCTCCATGAATATGCATAATTTCACATTTCGTCATCCACCAAATGCGTATGATGAAATCAATGAGAAGAATAAATTGATGGAAATGGAGCAGAAAGTGGGCTGCTTTTCGAATGTTAAAACGACCAAAGGCAGTTTAATTGAAATTAGTCAAGATTATTTTTTTTAACGTAAGTCAAATATATATTTGACGAAATTTACTTCTAAAAAATGATTAGAAATATTCTTCTTTATATAAATTGCCATGGAAAAACTGTGTAAATATGAATTTGATGTTTGACATATTCGTTAGATATTTGAAAAACGCCCCTTTTTTTCGAACTACATATATGTGAAAGGTGAGTTAACTTCACGCAAAACAAAGGTTAATTATATGTAAACAACAAAATGACAGTTGGTAATGTATGTATGTTTTGATTTGTGTTCACATAATCAGTTGTTCATTCGTTTTAGTTTAGTTCAATATCAGCACGAGAGTATCACATTAATATTTTCGTTTTCAATGCGAAAATGGATAATTCAAAATTAGATGAATCGTTAAGTGATATGGAATGTGGTAGAGAAACAAGCAATTACTTTTTAGTACGTCAAAACTTCGAAATTATTACTGTAAAATATTCAATTGAATTCTATCATTTCATAATATGTGGCGAAAGTTAATAAAACTTTACATTTTTTTCTAGGATAACCAATCACAAATTAATAATGCATGCGATAAGGCACAGAATGACCAATATCCTCAGATGAACTTTCAGGTTGAAAACGAGTTTCGCAAGGTTAGTTGAAATTTAGCCACTTTTTTATATCTTAACATAAATAGTAACTGTTTTTTTAATAGAATATCAAGCTCTTACAGAACCTTTCCACATCAAAAGGAATACACAGAAAACCCGCGCTTACCTCGTTGAGTGCAAAACCTCATATAATTGATGCCGACACCGTTCAAATTGTCAATGTGATTCCAACAATAAAAAGGTTAGCAAAAAATATTTGAATTGAAATTCTTTTTATCAATACTTACTTATTTCTTGTGTAAAAAGTTCGAATGAAACCAGTCTGACTGGTTGCAAGACACCAAATGAATCAAAGAAGAGCGAATCAATTCGAAAGCAAACCACTGAAGTTAATTACGGACTTCCTAAATTTACTCGGGTCAAAACACTGCAGCAAAAAATCAGGGCTCGAGAAAAAAAACGAAGATACAATGAGAGGAAGAAACTGCGAAAATGTATTGAAAACTTGGAAATTACATTTGGCGAAATTGAATTAAAAGGATCAAAACGTTAATTCAATTTATTTTATATATCAAATAGATAGCTTATACGAATACTATTTTTAGCTCAATATGCTAGTTAAATCATTTTTAAATACTGTAGTATTGTATTTATTTTTTTTACACGATTTTATTTAATAAACAAACATTTGTTTACATTGTGTTCTTTTGATTTATGATCGAATTAGCTTACGGAACTTTGATTTATGTGAATAATTTGCAAAATGCAAATCAAATGAAATCATTGTAGTAGTGAATTTTTGATCAAGCATTTTGGCAAATAAGATAAGGACTTATTATACGAAAAGTAAACTTTTTGTTGTTTCCAATGATTATAATAATCTAATTGTGATGAAAAAAATACGAATTTATCATTTTTCGTTTGTTTGGAAAATAACAATGACGCACGAAAAATGACTGTATTCGAAGTCGGCGTTCAAACAAAACTAAAAAATGCGAGATTGTCTTTTTTGCGAGGTTAATTGATAATTTGATTGTTGATAATATCAAAAATGGTTCATGAGTTCAGCCTACTCTTTCGGTTGCAGTTCAGCCAGTTCGGATTCCAATTGAGCCAACACCTTTTCCAAACGTTCGATGGTGTTGTTTGATCCTCGTGCGTGCTTGGATTGAAACGATTGTTAACGCAAATACATCCAATACCAGGCCACAATGTTTACGGTCGAAATTGACGCCAAATATGTGTTTCAGTCATTTTCAACGTCACCAATGGAACAAAAAAAAGAAGAAGAAAAAAAGAGTTAGTTATTAAGTCAAAATGAATTGAGGCCAGAAAAAATTGTTAATGTCTAAACTAGAGGTGCATATCCCTTATTAACAAAAAGTATTCCTTTTAACGCTGACTAAAAATCGACACCTTAATGTTTTCTTTTAGATTTAAATTGCGATTTAAAAATATTGTAATTATCGACAATATCTTTACTATCTTAAAACTAGATTCATTTTTTTTTGTAAAAATACTGTACTCACAATTACCATGTCGAACTCATTTACAGTAAATTGTTTGGCCAATTCGAAGACTTTTGTGTCGACTTCCTCAAACTTTTCCCAAACTTTTGTAACAACCGTTTCCAGCTTCTCCAAAGACGGGCGTATTTTTTCCAGTCTGTTGAAAAGTATACATATTTATTTCATTGATGAACCAGATATTTTAAACGACTTACTCTGATGTCAATTGAGCGATTTTTTCTGTATACCATTTTTTGGATTTATCGATCGAAACAACCTAAGATGAGTCGGAAAAGAAAAATAGAAATTAATAAACATGTAATGGAACGTAATTGAAATAATGGCAAAATAATCGAAAGAGTGAACCAACCCCTGCTTCTAATTCACAGTTTATTTCTTCGGCTTTTTGAATAGCTGATTTCATGCTTGTGGCATCGCTATTGCAGTGAAACGCCTCGTCAGCCTTATCTTCCATCCACAACATTAACTCCAATTGACGGGCTCCGTAGCTTGACATTGACATTGTTGAGCAACGAATGAATTTCGATCAAATTTCCAATCAATAGAAATATTCAATTGACACTTCCTTCAATTTCTTTGTTTAAATCACTAGAAAAATTGACGGCTAGAAACCAAATCAAATGCTTGCTACTATCGTACAGTGATCCTTTCGAGCTACGCCGAATTTTTTATGTCAAAATCACATTCTCTCCATACAATCTCAGCGGTGATCAGAATGATTTGAGTGTTGTAGTGGATGCTGTTGGTTTCAATTTCACGATGATAATTTGTATCTCCTTCGAATCAGCGAACATTGAATGTTTTTTCTCTGTCTAATTGTGTTTGTTATGTGTTTGCTTGGTTCCACACAATCATAAATGAAACAGCGTTTTCACACACATAAATACACACTATGTTGTAGTCAGACCTTTTTCAAAATTTCGTTTTTACTTCAGACTCAGTCAGCCGAATCAAATTGCAATGCACGCAAAAAATCGGCTGGAGAATTTTTGTTCCGAGAAAAAACAACATCATAAACAACAACATGAAATAAGAATGCTGCCATGTTTCTTGGTGATGAAAATCATTCAAGAACATTCGACACAATACAGTGACGATGAACTTCGCTTTCACTTCTATCATGAATTGTTTTTATTGAAAATCGCTGCACGCATGCAAAATAAAGAATAAATTAGTTTTGGATTATACAATGTTTACATTGTTTCAATGACTCAAGATCTTCTCCGTTCTTGTTCTGTTTAACAATTCAATTCGAAGAAAATATGAGATAATGAGTTTTTATTACAGGGAATTTATTCATTGAAAATGATCAACAGCAATATAAATTTACCGATTGTGAATTTTTAAATTTTCTTTCTTCTGTGATGTTCATGCACAAACGCTAACTTCATGTCATTTGTTAAATGTCAATGCATGTTGTCCAATTTGTGTTTTGTGTTTATTTGTTTTGCAACCATAAGTTTTCGAAATCGTTTTAAAAAAAAAACTGCGAAAATAATGTAAAAATGGCAATGTCATTGACATCAAACGATGGAAGTCCAATTTTGTTCAGAAACTGTGAGTCAATATTGCGTCAAAATTTCTGTGGAATGTTTTATAAAGCAGAATTAACCGATGCAACATTGCTATGTGAAAATAAACCGATTCGCGTACATAAATTCATGTTGTCTGCGTGCAGTTTGTTTTTTAAACGAATTTTTATGGTGTGCCAAGGGGATGGTTGTCTAGTCATACAAAATATCAAATATGTTGATTTGGAGAACATCCTGCATTATATATATTATGGTCAAATCGCCGTGCATCGCAATAATCTAAATGGATTTCTCGACGCTGCCCAAAAACTATTAGTTCCGATCAATAATGCGACTTCGCCGTATGGATCGTCAATCGAAGAAAGACAGTCGAGCCCATATGGTATGGATACAGGTAAAAGAAAATAGTTATTTATGATAGTCATTATCTAATTCAAATTGGTTTAATTACAATCAACTGTAGATCGTGATATTGCTGGATCCACATTTGAAAGTGTGAGTGTTTTTTAACTTAACAATCAACACATTCGTATAATATTAATAATCAATGGTCTTTATTCAGAACTGCCAAGACAAAAATGAAACGGATGGAATCGTCGTGATCAGCCAGGAGGAATTCTTCGAAGTATTTTGTTTTCAAATGTACAGTTACCGATGAAAATATTAATCGGAATCTGTTTCTTTTCCCTTACAGAGAATGTTTGAAGCTCGAAATCTGCCATGGCCTTTTGATTGCAGTGCAAACAATCGAACAGAAGCATTGCAAACAATCGAACAAGAATTCGAATCAAAATTCAATGCCCAAAACTTAATCGAAACTATAAGTTACCAACCGAAGGATGATTATGCGGCCCTGTTTGAAATCTCTTTTTAAAAAACCATAAGAATATAACATTACCAAAAATTGAAGTAGATGTGAAAGATGTAAAACAACTGATAAAAAAAACTTGTGCATTATTTAGTTAAAACTCCGTGGTTAATTAATGAAAATTTCTATTTTTAGTTTTTTTAAGCAAATAAAGTAATTATATATTTAAAAAAATAACATAGTAATCATATATATTGTTTCCTTTTCAATAAAAATGGCAAACACAGTTTTCAATATAAATTTAACGCATATATTTGTGTGAGATCTGAATTTCAAAATTTTGTTCATTTTTTCATATTCGATCAGATGGCAACTTCATGCCAATGTAAATGTCAATGTATGTTTGCAATTTGTTTTGTAAACATAATCGACTGATTAACGATGGAAACGTGTTGTGGTTTTTATGACTTCATAAAACTGAAGATACATTAACAAATGCATCCTTGATATGTGCTAATTAAAAACCTATAGAAATTCCTACAATTAGCATCCAACTCTTTTTTGTCAGTATGAAGTTAAAATAACTGTTTGCTTGTCATTAAGCATGATATTTCTAAACTATATATGAAGTACATCCAAGTAATTTATTTGTTGGAAGTAGCAATTACTTCAAATGTAAAACAATAATGGCGGGGAATGGATGTTTTCAGCCGACTTCCGAATAGAGACAAAAAAGGAAAGCATAAAAAGCATAGCCTTGTACACATACTTCTTAACTGGAGTCTTTAATTGGCAGCTTTTGTATAGGAACGTTGATAAACTTATGATTGACAGCGACAACCAAATAGCCATTACAATAAGATATATCCTTTGTGAATTGATTGACGGCATCTGATGAGTTACAAGAGTAACAGAACAAAAATCCTTTAACACCATTTATAAGACGTGATATTTTCATCAAACATAAATGCATCTTCAATTTAGACTAGAAAGCTATCAGTAATAAACATTTTTTTTTTCAACGACGGTTTTTAACCGGTCTGAAAAGTGTAAAGAAATTTTCTAACTAAAAATCCAGGAGTTATTACGAAGAAATTGTCTGGTGTTTTCTTTATTATTCGTACAATTCATACAATTGGACTTCTCTGATGTCTACATCAAGGCCATATAAACTCTAAACTTACAAACTATGGACGGATTGGAATCTAAAGTCTTTGTCATCGTATCATTTTACGAAAAGCCAAATAAATTGTCAAAAGAATTTTTTTTTTTTAAATATTCATATATATAAATTTGTGCTAAATTAAAATAAATTTGTTTTCAAAAATATATGTGCTCGCAAAGTAGAAATAAAAATTCATTAAAAAATGCGCATGGACGGTTGAAAATTAATATGTCTAAATAAAATTGGCTACAATAAAATCGAGACAAGAATCTAAGAAAGAGAATGATACAAATTTAAAAAAAATTAATCATGGCTCGTAGTTCATTTGGTACACATAGAAATATAAAAGATGTTTTCTTAAAATAGTGAACAATATTGACATTTCTATTTGATTTTAATAAAGCTCAAATGCATAGCATAACAATTCCATGTACTGGTACTTTCTTTGCATACAAAACGTTTATCAATGGCATATTTCTCTTTTGTCGTGTTCATTAATCTAGCTATGATATGTTATATAGCCATTCGAACATAATACGATCGCCACTGTGCGATAACCCGTTTTTTTAGTTACATTCAGATTTGTAGAATTTAATTTAAACAAACAAAATACGATATATGGAAAATATACCCTTTTTAACCAGATATTGATTTAACCTAATTTTCTCGACTTAATTTTTTTTTTTAATTCAATGTTTAATTATTTTGTTAATTCTTTTTCGTTTTGAAAAAACGTTGTTCTTCATGTTACATTCGAGTAAAATTGTACAAACGAATTAGCAGATTATATTCACTATCATTAATGAGAATACATTCCACGAGATTCAATATAAGCATTTGGAATCGAAACATTTTGAAGTGTGGACACAAATACGCTTCCATATTTGGTAGGTACTTACTGCCTTGCCTAGATTATCTTAATTAAACGGTTCGATTTTGAGCTTCTTTTTGGGTCTAATGGCGCACATACCAAAAAAAATTGTACGTTAGTTTATGCGATATGTGATTTTTTTTCTTAGTACTGAATCTGTCTAACTAAATAGAATAGCGTGAGAATTCCAAAAATGATGGTACTATTTAAATGGAGATTCGTTGCCATGTTTCGTGAATTTGTATTGCCTTGATCATTCCGAAGAAAGAAAAAAAAAATGAAAAAGGAAATTGAAAAATTAGTTGCATGCTTCATTGAAATTTGTTTTTGATTTAATCGCATTAAGGATAATGCACAGCTTTAGATTGAAGAGTCATTCCTAAATGTGCAATTGATAATGATTTGTGATGATTTATGAATGAGAAATTTTATTCTTACCCATTTGGAATTGAAGTGTTGGACTTGACATACGGCCATCACCACCGTTGCTGAACGCAAGAACTCTCATTTTGTATGCTTTTCCTGGTGTTAATGTGTCAACAAATGCTTCCAAATCATTTCCAATCCAAACAATAGTGTCGTTTGCGGTTGACATATCTTGATCGGATTCCCAAACACGAACTTTGTAACCCACAATTGGTTCTTCTTCTAGAGTAACACCAACGTAACGCCATACAACACGTACCGTCGATGGATTGACACCATACACCTGCACTGACGATGGCGGTTTTTGTGGTGCTTTTCGATATGTTCGCTCTGAAATGAATTTAAGAAAAATTGAATCCATTAATTTGAAAATGTTTGCCACAAAGATTAACTTTTGAAAACCTCCTTTCTCCTGCATTGTTCTTTTATGTTCTTCAAAATATTGTAAAAAAATGTTTGAAAAAAAAATCGTTACCCAAATAACGTTCACTCTCAGGTCCTTCACCGGCTGCATTGTAAGCCATCACTTTGACAAAGTAATGTGTGTCTGGTTCCAAACCAACAATCAATGCCCATGGTCGTTTCGAACGTGATAAATAATAAACGGCATCCTCCTCTTTGTGGCCTTGTTTCCAATACTTTAGACGATGTCCAATCAAATTGCCACGAATTGCTTCGCGGGTTTGATTGATTGGGTTCCATGTAACATTGAAACATGTTGAATTATATCCGACGGCAACTGGTTGTTGTGGTGCAACTTGTGGCATATCTTCTGCCGAATAGATTGTAACAAATGGACTTTCCGGTCCATATCCAATGTCATTTATGGCTTGTACTTTAACATCATATTTTGTGTAATACATCTTTGATGGAATTGGAACAATGGCACGATCGATATTACCGCGATCTTTAAGAACTTCGGTCGCCCATTCATTTTCGGTTCGATCGTTTATTGTGTCATGCAAACGCCAAAAGATTTTATAATGAATTCCTGGCGCATTTTGTTGTTGTGGTAAAAGTGGTTTCCATGTTATTGTCAAATCACCGATTTTTCCGCCACCGCCGCCAACTTTTTCCGGATGTATATATGGTTTGTCACTGTGTGTATTATATAATGGCGATGGAGCGCTTGGCTCCCCAATGCCCAATTCATTAACTGCACACACACTGAATTCGTAGCCCGACCAAGGTGTTAAATTCATTATTTCCGCTTGTTTTCGTCCATTGTAACGATCAATTTGAATGGCCGGCACCTCTTGTGACACATTAACCCATGTTTTATTCCAGTTTGTACGACCCAAGATATTATAATAGAGAATTGGTCGGCCATTATCAGTGCCATCAAGCCATTCCAAAAATGCTTTCGTTTTATGAATATCAATCACTTTCACACCACCTGGTGATCCGGGCGGTCCAAGCACAACTACATTTGATTTCGAAGAGATTTCATTGACTGATGATTTTGCGACACATTCATATTCACCACCGTCCAACAATGATAAATTAAAGATTTGTAATGTATTTTGTTCGATGATCTGGTAACAATGAAAATGATGAAAAGAAAGCAAAAAATGAAATGAAAATGTGATCAAAAGAATGTAATGAAAAGGCAATATTTACAATTTGCTCTGTTTCCACAACCAATTGACCATTGTGTTTCCATAAGAATGCAACATCCAAAACAGAATCATAGCTCACATCGCAATGGAAGTATAAATAGTCATGTACTTGTGCAACGACTTGTGGCTGAAGCAATTGCGTGAAACGAAGTTCCTCTGAAATGCAAATGAATATTTTATTTTTATTCGAATTATCAATACACAACACACATTTGTTCCAAATGGAATTGGTTCGATAAAAATAAGTACGTACCCAAAACAATTAGTCTTGCCCTTGATTCGTCAGTTCCGTATTCATTTGATGCGACACAACTGTACATACCCTCATCATCTCTAGATGTCGGCGATATAATCAATGTGCCTGTTGGTAATATTCGCCTATGGCCTCCGGTTCCTATAATGCTGCCGTCTTTTTTCCATTGAAATTTCGGCCTGGGCGCCGCTTCAGGATCACAAACAATTGTCGTGTTCCCATTGTAAATAGCATATATCTCTGATTCAAGCGGTCGCTTATGGAACGATGGTTTCATCGATAAGACCCTCAGTTGTGCGGACGAATAAACCGTTTTCAGTTGATTTTTGGCCGCACATTGATACATTCCATCATCTTTTTCCGGATCCAAGAACTTTATCGTCAGAACATTGTCTTGTATTGTGTACTTATCACGGTCCAATTTATCGCGTTCCATGAGCTCGGCATTTTTATACCATGTATAATTAACATCTGGTATGGCATTTGCTTCACAAATAAAACTAACTTCACTCTTAAAATCTTTGATTTTGTCGCGCAATGGAATGGTAAAGTTTGGCTGCATTTGAATATTAAGTACGATGGATTTTTGTATTGCTTTGCGATCGTTGAATGTCGAACAAACGTATTCGCCATTATCGTTGAGCGTTGCGTTCGGTATGATTAATACACGATTGTAATTGATTTGGTAGGCACGTCTTGGTAAGCCGCCATCTTTTCGAGTCCAATTATATTTTGGCACTGGATAACCGAATGCCATACATTCCAATCGAATCTCTTGGCCGGCTGTTGGTGAGGCGGGAAATACTTTCGGAAATGAATTGGCAAAAATTAAATCTTGATAATTTGGATGTGGATTCACACGAAGTGGAAAATATGGTCCATTACGTCCGGTTGAACTGACCAAACTTTGAACTGTACACGAATAATTAGCACGATCAATGACTTCCAAAGCGGAAAAATACAAGGCACCATCATGACTGACAAACACACGTTGATCTTCTTGCACGAAATTCGGGAAGAAATCACGAGACCAATAATACTGAACACCGGGGTAATCTGTGGTGTTAAAGGAAATAGGTGATGTTTTTTTTTTAAATTGAAAAAGAAAAAGTGTTTATATAAAGAAAAAAGTTGAATAACTTACGTTGTGGTGGATCACAAAACAGTGCATGTCCCCAATTAGATTTGCCCGCTTGGCCCGAACGTTTCAAATTGAATTCCATAATGTATCCAAAATTGAGTGAAACACTTTCAGAACGAATGCGACCAAATTTATTTTCGGCTATACAATGGTATACGCCTTGATCGTGTGTTTGATCTGGATCGTAGATAATTAAATTGCCACCGCTAATCGTGAACCGGCTGTCTGACAATGGATCGATTTTATAAAATGTTAGATTATCGTTGACATATTCTTCTTTGTACCAACTGTACGTCGGTGTCGGATAGCCCGCCGCCAAGCAGCTCAACGTTACATCATTGCGAATTTTTCGCTTGCCCGTGTCAAATGTTGTGTCATTCGGTTGATTCACAAAATATGGACCACGCGGAATTTTTGCGAATTCAGTTGTAATTTCAATACCATAATCAAAACCACGATGATCATCTTGTTTAATATTTATATTATTTGGATTGTACAATTGATGTGATTCACAAATGAATAAATGCTGTTCGAATTCAAAGACCGGAATGAATAGCCAACGATCTTTGGCACGTGAATATCCATAAACCAATCGATTCTTTTCCATGCTGTACAATGAATTTTGATCTTTTCGAATGATTTGATCGAAGCGATTATAATATCGATTGGTGTCTTGTAAATTCTCTTGCAGTGTATCAATGTCAAAATCGGTCTCTTCGTAGGCAAAACCATCGTCAACAATAACCAGCGATGAACCGTCATCGTTTGACCAACTATTTGGTGCTACTTGTTTTGCCGATAAATAATATCGACTTTGTTTTTGATCTTGTACAATTAAATGCTTCAAAATAAATGAATGTTTTTCTACACTCTCCACATTCACCAAATCACCGCGATACGCTTGACAAATTTTCTTTGCATCATACCAATTACGTTTTGGTGATTTTATAAATCGCAAACATGAACTTCGATATGCAATCCAAAATTCCGGACAAAAACTATTTTCGTCAATACCATCGACGCCAGCATTTAATCCACCATAACCACCAACACCGTAAGTTCCACCCAAGCCATTGTATGTATTCGAACCACCAACATTGCTGCCAAACGAATTGAAATTGGAATCGTATGTACCGCGACCGGGGGAATTACTCAATGGATTCGTTGGATCATAAAATGGATTCGTATTGATTCCGGTTATTTCATTCGATGCACCATAACCGAATGGTGAACGTGTTGGATCATGATTGGGATCATTGTATCCATTGCCATAATTTCCATAGTTACCATTGCTATATTGTGCCAATGGCTTACCGAGAGCCTCTAATTTTGTATCATTTGAATCGATCGAGAATTGTGCTGTTGTACAATGTGATGCTAATAGCAGTAGACAAATTCTTGTCAATAACATCGTATTAGTCATCGTCGTTTTGTTTGAATTTCATTACCTCATTCGTATTTTTTTTTTCGGAAAATTTCGTTTTCGTTAATTTATCGCACGTTTATTATCTACAAATACACAATACAAAATTAACAATTTTTTTTTATTTTTAGTAAAAAAAATTCTGATGCATTTTTATAGATAAATAACAACAATCGATGTACGCATATGCGACTCAAGCGCATTTTAACCAAAACAATGAATAAATACAATTCGGTTGTTTTGTTGTGTCAACTGTATATAGAGACTGGAGTGGCAATTGCGTGCCGAATGTCAATAAATCTTTGGGCATTAAACAAACACACAAACGCTCAGAAATCGAAATGGATTTTTATCAATTTTTTTTTTTTCAGAAATCCAATCATTTCAACTATTGATTCATTCATTTTTTTACATATTACTCAGTTTGAAATTAAATTATTGTACATTTACTTTATAACCACGCCCAACCACATACTTTACACATTTGTTTAAACTAAATTTCATTCAACAATCAAATGATTCACACTTTAATTTACTTTTAGTTTATCTTATCATAAATTAATTCAACGCTTACCATTGAATGCTTTAGATAACAATTGTAACTGAAAAAAACGAACAGAATGCAATCGCCTCAGTGCGATTAAAACAATAAAAAAAATACACAACTTAAAAAATGAATGAAAAATATAATGCAGCGAAGTTAATGGAGAATTGAGTTCGCATACACAATCAACACACTACTATTATACATTTGCTGTCATTAGTCTGAATGAGAATAGGTGTAATAGTGACTTTTTTATACACATGAGTCACCCGTAGATAGCGCTGTAATCGTTCCGTAATACACAGCAATGGAACGCCATCGCAACCATTATATACAAAAGATTCAATATTTTCTATCAGCATTGACATATTCTGATTTGAATTATTTTATGTGAAAGGAATGTAACCAAATTCAGTCAAAAGGAAAAAAACAGAACGAAAACAAAAGAAAGCAAAATATGAAGAAATGGAAATTATATATTTATAAATATTTTTACTTTTCATTAAAAGAATCTCTTTAAAGTCGTTATTATCAATTCAATCGCTTTTCTTTTTTTGTGTGAAACTTAATCTCTCTCCATGGTCAAGAGTTTCGATCAATTTGACTTTTTCATCAACGATTTTATGTGACGCCAAAAAGTCGGAAATTTACATCAAAGTCACATTACCGTTGCTATGGCTACTTGTTTACAATTTGAATGTAAGCTAAATGTGTTCAACTTTTAAGATTTCAATGGTGAAATTAATGCAATTGGTTTCTGTTGATCATAAAATAATTACCCAATTGAATTGAAATTAAAATCGATTAAAAAAACAACAATATATGACGTTGTTATTTTATTGCCTTTATTTACATTGAAGTGTATGGTAAACCGCCCATTCTTACAGTTTTTCCATGCTGTAACACATGCAAAGGGGACATTGGTGCTTGTGCACACATTTATATTCCCAATTGACATTGTCCAAGGCGTTAACGTTTTCTCGACGTGATGACTCATTGAGCGTGGCCACCGGCATATGAGTCATTCAATGTAAAATATAAACACACACATTCTACTCACAATGCTTCTCCGGAACACCTATAAAATACAATCATTTGACCGGCCGTTTCGACTCTTTCAACTTGTTATTGTGTTGGCAACGAAGTTGCTTGCTTGGCAATTTAATTCCTACAAATACCAAAGATTTCTATTTTAAATCCCAAATGAAATTCAATTTCGTGGCATTTATATGACCTCGAAAAATTGTCGTTTGGGAAATGGCCATATATTTTATCATGTAAAGTTGTTGCAATTGCCGATTCAGAATGTTTTATTGGACAGGCGAATCGTTCAATTTACGGATCATACGAGTGACCAAATTCTGCATTCGAAAATATTGATTTTGACATCCGTTCTGCTTTTTTTTTTTTCATTTTTAGACATATTTGGTGGTTCAATAAGTCTTTGGCCTGACAACCAGATGGCGTCATAAATAAAAAATCTCTTTATTTTTAACAAGTACCACCTGTCTTTACAATACTGTCAAATTTTAAGCCCAATCCGTGCATTTGTTCACAAGTTACAGGCATAAGTATCAAGCAACTTTTGAGATTTTTCAAATAATGGAAAAAAGTGAATTTCGAGTCTTGATTAAGCACTGCTTTTTAATGGGAATGAATACCGTCGAAGCAAAGGAATGGCTAGATAAGTGCTACGGCATCTGTTCACCACCCAGTTCAACCATCAAATACTGGTTTGCTAAATTTCGTCGCGGGTGTACATCCACCGCTGATGCTGAACGATCAGGTCGCCCAAAAGAGGCAATTAACCCCGAAATCATTCAACAAGTCCGCCGCATGTTATTGAATGATCGAAAAGTGAAAGTGCGTGAGATAGCTGAGTCCATAGGCATATCAACAGGGTCAGTGGTTACAATTATGCATCAACATTTGCAAATGAAAAAGCTGCTTGCTATGTGGGTGCCGCATTTTCTCAACGTCGACCAAAAAGAACAACGAATCAATGATTCTCAGCGATGTTTGGCATTGTATAATCGCAATCCAAGGGAATTTTTGCATCGATACATCACGATGGATGAGACTTGGGTCCATCACTACGTACCACAAGACAAACGTCAGTCTGCGGAGTGGGTAGGACCAGATGAAAGACCTCCAAAGCGTGTGAAGCAAGATCGATGGGCTGGGAAGGTATTCGCCAGTGTTTTTTGGGATGCGCATGGGGTAATATTCATCGATTATCTCGAAAAGGGTAGAACGGTCAACGAAGAGTATTATATAGCCTTGCTTGACCGTTTGAATGATGAAATAAAGAAAAAACGTCCGCATTTGGCAAAGAAAAAAATTCTTTTTCATCAAGACAACGCAAGACCACACAAAGCCCAATTGACGATGGAAAAATTTGATGAATTAGGATGGGAATTGCTTCCTCATCCACCGTATTCTCCAGATCTAGCCCCCAGCGACTATTATCTGTTTTCAAACTTGAAAAGGTGGCTCGCAGGACAGAAGTCTTACTCAAATGAAGAGGTTGAATGGCAAACTGATGCCTATTTTTGGGGACTCGACAAAACTCATTATTCGAAAGGCATTGAAATGTTACCCGAGCGCTGGGCCAAGTGTGTTCAACTCGACGGGGATTATATTGAATAATAAAAATGATTTTTGATCAAAAATATGTATTTTTCATTGTTAGGCCAAAGACTTATTGAACCACCAAATATTTGCTTCAGTTGAACGCTGAAAATTCGTGTCCACGTCGATTTTATTCAGAATCCCAGAGAGGTATTTCCATTGGTATTGTTGGTTAAATAAGTTCACCATTTCTTTTGAAAAAATAAAATGTTACGAATACAAAATAAAAAGAAAAAAAAATTAAATAAAAATTGCGTCTAATTTTTCATAAAATTGGATTATTTCATTTGTATTTTGGTTCAATTTAGAATACATAATTATTAATTTATATTCTTTAATTTTCTGTTATCCTTTATCAATAACTTAACTCATTTTATCACATTATAAACTGTTTTTTTTTTGTATGCAATGCGCGAAATAATGTCAAAATATGTGTTGTACGATACATACAATGGGTTCAGGTGAAAATGAAAGAATTTCAATATTATTTCTTTCTCTCTCATAATTATGAGCGATTAATTCGTTGTCTATTCGAATTATTGATCTGCTACACATATAGTCGGACAATATTTTGTCATTGCGTGTGTACTTGCATATCTGTATTCAACCATAAAAATTCAATTTCATTAAGCATTTGGTTTTGAGTATGTGTGAGATGATGTTTGGATAATGTTTTTACGTGAACGCCGAAAAGAAAAAGATTGTGATAAAAAAGGAAACGTCAATTATGATCAGATGTATGTCGTTTACATTTATTTCCTCTTCTTTTTTTCTCTCAAATGAATTATTGCTGATTTTCTCATTATAACAAATACATAATATTTTACAACTGGCACCTAATATTTAAAAAAAAAATAAATCTGAACAAAGTTTATTTGTTTCGGTTAGCGCGAACCAATTTTGAGGAAGATGGCGAAATATTTAAATAAAAAAAATCGATTCGAAGATCAATAAAATGCGGACATATCATTCCCATTCTTGCTGTTTATCTTTAAAGTTAATATCATCAATGTTTTTTTTTTGTTTCGCTCTGTACGTATATGTCGTTTTGTATAGCTGTCTAAAGCATTTACAAATTCTTTTATTTTGAATGCTCATACATCCCTTCTTTGCTTGCCTCTTAAATAAAATAAAGTAATCTATAAATCTAATTTGATGAACAAGCGCAATAGTATGTCATTAATTACATTTGTTGCTTCTTTTTGTTTTCGCTCTTGTTCAGATTTCTTCAATCGAATAGCTGCATAGCTGTCGTCTATATATGTGTGACTTTATACGCGGACAATTAGGAAATCTTTTAACATCGTTCTGCATTGAATGATTGTTGCACACTTGCGCCAGTGAATATCATTCAAATTTACTTTGCTAAATTTACTTTACAATTAGCGTCTCTTTCAGCCGCCGCACAATATGTGATCCAACGTCACTAACATCTGGCCATTGTCTAATCACAAATATTGCAATAAAAACGAAGAATACAGTCGTCAAAACTCGCAATCTAAAACAGAAGAAACAATTTTAAATGTTATGTATCATTGGACGAAGAATTTTAACTGAATTTTATCGAATTGATCTCGGTTACCTAGTCTTTAAAAATGGCATTATAATTCCGGCAGCAGTTGCCACCAGCAATAAAACTACTTGTAACACAGTCAATACTACATTAATTAGCTTAACAATAAGTGCACGAGCATTTGAATTGTCGATCCCTTCAACGGTTACATATTGCTGTTGCGATAAATGTTCCATTTTTGAAATCTGAAAAACAAAGAACATTTCAGTTAAATAGCCAAATATGATTTGTAGAAATGAAAGCAGAAAACAAAAGTACTTACTCTGGTTTGACAATTTTCCAAGACTTCGTTTACATCACGCAGTCTCTCATCACTCTGGTATTGAACTTTTTCCTCCATATCTGCTAGCGCTTGCTTTAGATTTTCGATTTCATTCTATAAAATACAATAAAAATTAATTTAAAAAAAAAACATCAACTCATTAAAAACACATCCCAATTGCACATTCACGTCTTTTTAATAATTCACATTAGGAATGCGATTATTGGAATTTTCATGTTATTATTCGAATCATTCAATGATGCGGCAGACGTATTATTTTACCTGATGAAGTTCGGTCAAATCGTTAACTTGTTCCTCGAGTCGTTCAGCGCGATATCGTTCGCTTTCCAATTCTCGTGAAACATCTTGGAATTCTTTTTGGACACTCTGCAAATAAATCAATAAATTGAATGGTTCATATCAATCGAAATTGAAAACAATGTCAACCAACCTCAAGTCGTTCAATGGCTTCTTTCATTTTGGCGCAGTCATCTTGTCTCTCCTGCAATTCGGTTAAAATGGCCTTCAACAGGAAAGCATCTTGTTGATTATTTGTTCCTGAATGGCTTTTACCAGAACTGAAAATTGAATGTAAAATCATTATGTTTTGCGTGGTTGTGTCAATTTATTATGTCATTTTTTTTTTGGGTGGAAAATACATAACATAAAACACAATAACAACAACTAAGACACCGATTTTGAGACAACGAGACAGTCTCGTTGACTATATCTTTCACTTTGATGAAAGTGTACATACCCGCCGCCTGGCATGGAATCACTTGTGACGCTACTGCATTCGCTGTCGTTTTCATTGCTGAATTTTCCACTGCCGGTCCGTGTTGCAGTGGCTGCCGTTGTCCCCGTCGCCGTTCCTCCAATATTCGACGATCCGGTGTTGTTACTGTTGCCCAGCGTTGACGATTGAAATTGTGTTGAGTTTTGCGCTTGATTATTATGCGTTCCAGTCAAATCGAGTGTGTTTAAATCGGGATCTGTGTACCAGGCTTCAAATTAAAATCGATTGACATTTGATTAAAAAAACAACAAATTCTCCGGATAAAACACAAATCGCGAAATACAACCAAAAGAGATAAAGTATGTTTTATGTATGTTTTTTTTTTCTATATATGTTTTGTGTATGTGAATGAATGAGATTCAAAATCACCGCAGCCAACAATTTAATTTATATATATATTGTTTGTGTGAAAAGACATAAAAATCACAAAATGAACGAAAATGGCTGCAGCCCATGGGCTCTTTTTAAATACTAAATTCATACTTTTTGTATCTTAAATGCATGTATGAATGTTACACTGAAAACACAAAGAACGTAACGATTTATCTCGGAAAATTGTGATTCAAAAACTCCCCGAATGGAGTGTGAAATTAGCACAAGAGTTTCGGCACTATAATGAGCGACTACATTCCAATGAAGGCACAAACCAAATTTATATGATGCAATTGTGTGTCACTGTTGTAATGAGAATTGAAAAAAAAAAATTTTTCTCTAGCCAACAATTGTTAACTTGTAACAATGTTCGATTATACTTATTTTCATACTTGCAATTTTAACATTACCGTTCAATAATGGTGAGCGTGAACGAGAGAAAAATGAGCGGGGAATCATGGAGACTAGCACGAGAAAATCATATCTATATTTTTTTTTTATTTGAATTGTCTTTATCATTTCGTTTCTATTTTCGTCGTTTTCTCTATTGTTTCGATTCTAATTGCCTTTTTGGTTGGATATTAACGTTGTGTTCACCGTGAGCTTTGTTATATCTATATATTCAGTTTTGCTTATTTCGTTTTACAAAAACGAAATGGAAAATAAAAACAAAACGAATCGAACGCTATTGATTTTTATTAAACAGGTGCTGTTACATTTATTACCAACTCTAGTTAAAGTTGTGTTAATCAAATTAACTAAAATACCACGACACTGATTATGCAGACTTAGGTGTTGTTTTGTTTTTGTATTGTTTGGGTTTTAGTGGGGAACGTGTGTTGGCAAAATAGGCATAATTAAACTCAATAAACACAAAAAAAATGATACAAAACGAGCGCAAATAAATACGGTTTCAATCTTTTTTTTCGAGTCTATTTTTATTAATATAAGGCGGAAAAGGGTCAATTTGTTAAGTTGGTGTGTGTTTTTGTGGTTGAGTGATACTTTTTGAACTATTTCAATATATAACTACATTCTAAAGCTTTGCTGTTGTTGTTGAATATTACATTGTCCACTTGATTTACATCATTATACAACGTCTACAAAACGCAGTGCGTTTCAGTTTCCTTGTGTGCACCAAAAACTACAATTCGATTTGTTAATATTTTTACTCTACTGTGTACTAGTGTTTGTGTGCGACAGCAACTGAGAAAAGTAGATAGAGCAAGAAAGTGAGAGATATTGAATCAATGCCAACCAATGCATTTTCATCATTTGTTTGTATAGTTGCTTGTGCATGTGTATGACTGTATGTACGGAATATCGTGAGCATTTGTCGAAACCATATGTGAATTTTGATAGAATGCATATGCAATTGACTATGCTATTTCTCATTTGACGACAACAACGACTACGACGACGAAGACGACGAAATGTTGATGTATAAACCAAATGTGAAAAATCGGATCGAGGACGGTATACGAACGTAACGATCAATTGACTCAAGGAAGTTTCCGAAAAGAATTCTATTGAAGAATTCTTTAATCAAGATGAATCAATTTCACGAATCATTAAACTGTTTCATTTCATTTCTCATTTAAAAAATGAAATAAAAATATGTTCGAATAAGCAAAAGCATAATTTGTTTACCAATAAGCTTTGATGAAAAAAAAAATAAATGAAAAAAAGCGTGTGAACATGGCCTTGATTTCGGCAACATTTTATTTTATTTAGAATTTTTTTTTTCTTCTTTGTGAAATGTGAGTTCTGATAAGAAAAACGAAGCGACGAAATCGTTTCTAGTAATGAATGGTTGTTGTTGTTAGTGAAGAAGCACTTGTAAAAGACTGAATAACAAATCGAATGGCACAAAGTACACGACGAAAGAGTGATCGGGGTTTCTAAATCACATCATATGTCAAATGTCATTCACATCAATTACTCTTGTTGCTCTTTGTATATGCCTTTTCATTTTTCTGTATGTGTTTTTGCTTTGCTTTTACACGCATGAATGCGTCAAACATAACAATGTCTTCGATTGATTTATCAACAGTTTGGAATTTAATCTTAACATAGTATCAACAATTAATTACGGCTCTTTGGAAATCACGCTATCGGTCAATGAATTGAGAGTGAGTTAGGGTCGACAGAAAAAAGGAGAGAAGAATTTCGCGCGATATATGAATGTTGGTTATGAAATGAAATTAATTGAGAGTATGTGTCAGAGTAATTTCATGCATTTTAGCTACGATTATTTTAAATAAAACGTAAATATGAATTATATAATTATCAAAAAAAAAACTATTGAATGATGGTTGTTTTTATAAAGTTATTATTTCTCTATTGAAATGTATTCATCAAAAGCTTGCCGACATTGTTTCATTAAAATTACATTGGATGTGTACAGCTGTACATTAAATGGAATGTGAAATATTTCAAATACTTTTAGGCGGGTCAAATAACTGGATTTTAATGAATACATTTGTGAGAAAGGTTGTGTTTGTCTGTGTTTCGATTATAAAAAAATTCCAATGGTTGTGCGACCCATTTGTTTTTTTCACATAACCAATAGACAGTTTTGGCTAGTAAAGTTTATAAAATTGTACAATAAAAGCATATCTACAATTATTTTACACTACATCGAATTTGATAAGATGCTTACTTGATAATTGATTGATATTGTCGGCGCTTCCGAACTTATTTTTGATGAGATGAGCGAATTCGCGTGGTTTTGACATGAGGCTACCGCCGAGCCCAGTGATGCCGTCACGAACATTCCCACCAACATTTCTATGGAAATAGAAAAAAGTCGGAAAATTCATTGTAAGATGCATAAGAGATGCGGATGCTACATTTAATTAAATCCTGCTCATTTCAAAGCCACAATGTTCGCTATAAAAATGTTTAAAACTTACTTTAAACCTTGTCCCACATCTCGTAATACTTCACGCGGTTGCCGATGTCCAATTTGACGTTGATTTTGTTGTATTTGAAGATCTTTCACTCGTTTACTATAAGTTTCAAGTTTCTTTTGGAGTACTGATATTGTGTGCGCACTTTTTGTGTTTTTCTTTTCAAAAACGGCTTTGATACGGTGTAACTGTTGTTTATCTGCTTCAGTATTGGCTGCTAATTTCAGGTACTCGTTCACATTTTCATCGCGAGCCGTTTGTTCTTTTCGTATTGATTCACGTGTGCATGCAATTTTTGTATTTAGACGATCCATTGCTTGACCACTATTCGATCGATGATGATGATGATGGTGATGGTGACGTCGTTCCATTGTCGATGTGTTCCCTTCCAATTCATCCAAAAGAAATGACTGATAGCCAAGTTCCTCTGAAATGGTATGAATACAAATAATCAAAAATACTTCGAAATATCAGATAGAACAATTGGATCAGTGATAAAAGGTCATAAACATGTTTTTTTTTTTAAATATGAATTAGTTCAAATACGTTACCTGACAGTCTTGAATCATCCATTGTATCATTTTGTTCGCCACCAGTGATTACGGTGCTTGCCGATACAGTGGCGGCAGTCGTAGCAGCATTGGCACTATTACCGGCAACAACAGCAGCTGCTGGTGACGTTATATTCGCTTCATTTGTAATCAGCATTGTGTTTGCATCAGCATCACGTTCCCATGTCTTATCATTTGTGCTGCGTTCTCTGTCACGACTTCTTCGATTCGTTGTTGATGGGCTTTGATTACGAAATCTCAACCCACTCCCTGATACGGAGTCATTGCTATCACGATCTTTTGACACTGCAATTTGTTGAGGCGATGATACAGAATGACAAAAATAAAAAAGATACGTCAGTTAATTGACACAAGCTTACGCAAAACAGCAATAACATTCAACTACAAACTTTGTTAACGAACATTGTTTGTAACACACACGCACACACGAGAAAAAAAAACAACAACAAACATTTGCGATTTGAACTGAAAACTATTTTAGACAACTTTGCCAAACTTTCCAGCCAACCTTCTAAAACTATTCTAATTATAATTTTGGAATCTTCTCGCATACGCATCATTCATTAAGAAAATTATAATTTCGTAATCAGAATCATGCACACATCCATGTCCGAATGGTTAATGGTCTTGTTACTTTTCTCATGCAATTTGCATCATCAACTTTTTCCATCTAATTTTATTTAATGTGAGCGTTATTTTAAATGGCAGACCCTCGACCTTTCGTACACGTACTCTATTGTTAAACTCTTATTTTTTCTATAAATTTTTATTTTGGTTCTGATAAAGAAAAGAAACATCCAAATCATATTTTTTTATCAAGTTGCATATTTTCAATGATGTATTCTTTTAAAATAAGTGCAAAAACTGAAACACAAAGTGTAGCTATAGCATATATGCATGATCAAAGTATTACTACTTGCATTGCAGGATAAAATATTAATATTTAATGAGATAAATAAAGAATAGAGCGGAGAGACATGGTGTAAAAGTTATATGCATAGCGATCCAAAAACGTCATATTGTCCATTGATGCAAAAATGCTAAGAGCAAGTGAAATTATGTAATTTGTACTATAGTTGAATATCAGAGATAAAGATATTGAGAATGTGCTTGGAGTTAATTAGTTGAAAAATAGTCACTTCATTAGATAAATTGAAATGAAACCACTTCGAATTTTATAGAAGAGCGCTCATTCAACTATACGTAATATGATCCATATAAATGTGAGTAGACACAACTTAAAACAAATTAAACGAAATACATAGTGCTGCTGCGTTAATAATTTTCGAAAAGTTCAAATGTGAGTTAGATGATTATTTTGTGTTGCAAGTATCGAACAACACCAAGATGTAGTGCTGACGATTAAATAAAACATGTGGTACATGATGAATATATTGAAAACAATAAAAAGAAACAAAAACCTGACATTCATGAAATGAAAAATAATGGACAGCACGACAGAAATTAAATGGAATAAATATGTTCGCAACCAAAAATTGGACGAAATATATGCAATATAGATAGTACTACCAAAACATTTACAAAACATGCATACCAAAATTCTACAAAAATTAACTTAACCAAAATAACCAAAAGCGAAATAAAAAAAAACCAAAAAGTTTTATTGAATCATGATAATAATATAATAAGAAAAAGCATGTACTTTTTGTATGTTTTGATTTGTTTCTATAGTTGTGCAAAGGCGCAATCGGTCTCGCAGATGAAGCATAAAACGTGATCGGATAAGGTCGCTGTGTTTTGTTTGTTTGTTGTGTCGCTATACAAAAAGGCTACGGTGATCTATATGGTTTATGGTGTATTTTAAAAACGATAAAGAATTGATGGTGTCACGAAAGTTGTGATTTTGGTGAAAAATGTCTATTCTCTTTTGTGAATTGTGCGTGAGAGAGAGAGAGAGAAAGAGAGAGATTGGTTTTCACGCAGTCAACGAATTCAGTACTGAATTTATCGCAAACGTGTGGTTGTGTGCGAGATTTGTGAACGGTATGGAATTGGTTTACTCCGATTATGTACAATTCAAATTGCAGGTGCTGTGCAGAAGTAGAACCTCTCAACAGATTCTCTCTAGTTCAATTCAATATCGAAAGTGAGAGCTGACAATAACACGCACACACATATATAAATACAATATAAATTCTCTTTCGATATAGATATTCGTGTTCAGGTGGGATTAAGTGTTCGTGCTCCTTCAATAAATTGTTGTCGCTACAAGGTGATTTGTTTGTTTAGTTTGCTCGATATTCCATTCGAATTGTCGTGTTGCTGTGTTTTTTTTTTTTTCGTTTTCAAATGTTTGTGATTAGTTTTTTGTTTCGTTTAAATTCCAACGTACAGATTGAAATGGAGCGTGAGCTTAAGACTTTCGACAGATGTACACACAAATGTTGGAGTTTATTTTATAAATCATGTGTGTGTCTGTGCTAATGTTGCGAGAGACAGCGAGAATGTGTGTGTGTGCGTGTGGTTGTTTAAATTTTCTTTCGTACACGCTGTGCTGGGAGTTTAGTATATATTCGTTTGGTACTATTTACTTTGATCAGATCGACAGGGAGACGGTGCACGGCTCGATGGTTTGCTACCGCCCAATAGATTCTGTGTAGATGTTGAATGGACGTGCAATGTGTCCATCGTTTTTGGTTTTCATTCAATTCAATCGATTCTTTGCATTCGAAAATAATTCACACCGATTCGGTTGATTGAGTGCTTCGATATGGCTGACTATTCCTGTCTTGGGTCACTCTTTCCACTCGACTCGGCTACAAATTATAAAAACAGTCCCACACCGGATATCTGAAAAAGAAACAAGACAAACAAATAAACACATTGTTGATTTTTAAATAGTTTCAAGTATGTTTGATTTTGATGTTTACTCGAAGAGAAAAAAAAAATTTATTTAACAAAAAAAATTCAATATCATTGAATGAATCACAGCACAAGTAGAACGCAATCGTAAAAGTCTTTTTTCTCTGATGCGATAAACATGTTCCATTGTGGATAGTTTGAAAAAAAAAAAAAACATTTCATTTTAAATAAAGAGCCATACAATTCTGATGTGTCAATAATGCAAACATTGCGGAGAAGTCGTAAAAGATATGCATTTGTTTGTCAACGAGATTTCCTTGAAATAAGTTGTCATCGCACGCGTCATGAATTTTACTTCTGATAAGTGCACTTTTATATCTCTCAGACATACACACACACACGCGCAACATACAAACACACCATTGAATAATATAGGTTTTATCGACCATGCCATATTAGTGGCGCGGCCTGTATCGATCAGTATGTGCAGCACGATGGACAACTGGCCTAGATCATCATCAAAGCCATTGTTCAATTTTCTGCAACGCAATTTGACTCGTTTTGTTCTGTCAATGTTGTTGTTGTTGTCGTTTTCTTCTTCTTCTTCTTTTTTTTTGTTGTATCGTTTTCAGCTGCAAGCTATTCATAATTAATATGTTTGCTACGATCAGTTATAATACCAAAACACAATACGATTTGGCGCCATAAAAATGCCACTTAGTAAATACAATCTTATAAATGCGATTAATTATGAATGTTTAATATGGAAACCGATGTACGGCTATATTTAGATTAGACGCATTTGATAATTACAAATCGAATGTATCGCTATTTCAGCAATGCGTTAAATAAGTGTATGTGTATATTCCGTTTTCAGTCAATATCGGCATGCCAATGGATTTGGACACACGATTAATATAAATCGCATTCAAATTGCCAATTATTTGGATATAGAACTATATATTTTAATAATCATCATTTGATTTCGATTCGTAATTTTCGAAAAGAAATATGTGTATAATTTCGATGGGTAAAAAGCTATAGTATATTGTACATTGAAATTGTGGTGCTATTGGTGTTGTTGTTGCTGCTGTTGCATGCATACATGCGGGCTTTGAATGCCGTTGAAAAATATTACACAGACGAAAATCAGGCCTATTAATATCGGCCGTCATGTGTTGCAATAAGCAACAACTTTTGCACGCTGGCGACAGATAGTGAAATCAAACCCAAAACACTCGCAACACACAAATTGAATATCATTCATAAAAAAAAATAATAATAATAATATCTATATAAAACTTGTGGAAAACATGCTACAGCTCAATGTTTTGTTTGTGTTTGGCGTCCGCGTGTACGGCGTGTAGCACATGTCGTATACTATTTATATATTGTTGTACATGGAGAGATATCAAATGTGTCATTGTGCTTTTGTGCCATTGATCACGATTAAAAATCATGATTTTACCATTGGTTACCTGCAACTCTCAATTATTTAATATTATTATTTTTATTCACTCTTTTGTATGTCATGCTGCCTTTTTAAAAGCATTGACTGTCGCCGCATGGATAACTAATATACATATAATAAAACCGATTCCAATAGCATAAATCACGAATAAAATTCCGTCGAATCAAAATCGCATAATTTATGCAAAGAAAAACATTTTTTTTCTCCTTCGAATTTCGTAAGAACGTTAATTTATGCTTTCAGCAGTAGCATTTTATGGGCTAAAATCACACACAAGAGCCATGCAAATATATAAATGCAAAGTGCTGAAGGAAAACCAAACATTTTTCTTGCGACCCAGGAATTTCTTTTTTAAATATCTATCAGCCCAATATGTTTTCTTTACTCTGTATACTTCATTTATTATACAGCGTTTGATCTCACAAAAATAAATCTTGATCTTGAAAATGTTATACAATTATCACAATACCAAAGCGTGATAAAGGAAATGCACTCAAACAACAGATAGAGTTAGAGAAAATAAGCGGTAGCACAAGAGGGAGAGAGAGAGGAAAGAGAATTAAATAGAAGCCATTTTGTTGTTGTGAGGAAATAAACAAATCGGTTTTGGTATTCAAATCTGGCACTAAGTATTTATGCATTCGTATGTTTAGATGCATCAAATAGTAAAATTGAACTTTTAAACGAAATCCATTTGCTTTCATTGCGATAATAACTAAAGCAGCGCGATTATAGAAACAACGAAAAAGCACGACCGCGCACAAAATGTAATAAAGACAGAAATGTGTAAGTGAGTGAAGTGTCGTAAAGTTATTTTTGTTAGAAATGCATTCGTGTAATGTAATTGAGTTGGCACGATGCACACAGCAAAAATCTAGGACCATGACACGTGTGCTGTGAATGAGTCAGCATGTGATTAATGAAAATGATGTTTGCTCTTTGTATTCGTGGTTCCGTCAAAAAAAGTTCGGCTATGTTTTCTTGTTTGCGTCGTCGTTGGTTCTTTCTCTTTTTTTTCCTGGCGCGAGACGACGCTTGTAATTGAAAATCGCTAAGTAATTTGGTTGCCGGAAACAAAACCGTCTCTCTCTCTCTTGTTTTGTTTTCTCTCTTGTGTTTGAAATGTATGAATTAAAGAAACGAACGTTAACATTAATATTCCAGCATTGAATTATTAAAATTCAATGAATGCCTCGCAACAATACTCTATTTATACATATTATTCTTAAAATCAATATTTACAGAAAAGCTCACGAATCGGCCGTATTTGACGACATTTGGTCGCGGTCACAAATGAACCAAACGATCCAGAAGCAAATTTATAAAGTTCTAATTGAACGATTTCAAGTCGCTGTCGACGCTGTTGAAATAATTTGTTTTTCATATTCAGTCTATTTGCGTTTGACATGTTCAAGCCTCTTTCGCATTGTGTTTGTGCCGGTTTGAATGAGAGCGAAAGTTACACAAACTATTAAATCAATAAAATTACACTATTTGATATTGGGGACATCGAGCTTATGCTGCATTTATAGTTGTGAGGCATGAAGCAAAAAAAAAATATAATAAATGGAAAAAAGGCGCGGTGTGCATACACCAAATCAACAGAACCGTCTTTTTACCAATCTCACCGAACCAGAAGAAAAATTGCCAACGATGAAAAATAAAATAAACAGAAAATGTCTTCATCATTATTCATTTGTATTTGAGATGTTGAGAATCTTACATAGCGATAGTTGAAGAATGATTAATTTTGTTGAAAGCGATTTTCAACACATGGTTGATTCATTGTGCCATTAGTCAAGCAGGAACGATTGGAAGAATAAAAATTTGTCACTTTTTAACTATTTAATGGTCTTAACATCATGTATTTTTGGCATGAAATGTATTTGTTTATCATAAAGTTGCCGCAACAAGAGAGAGAGAGAGAGCGTGGAGGAGAGGGTGTATGTGTGAAAATGAGCGAGAACCAAAGGCAAAACTGTGCAGAGACAAAATGCAATTAAGCTGTTTAATGGATGGAACAAGAACAAAAACGCATACAAATACACTGTAACATTGTAAAGTGGCAATTATGGATATGGCAAGTTAGAAGCAATTGACGCACACCCAAAGAACGATACAACATATGACCCATCCATAAAATAAAATAAACAATAAAATATAATATCAAAACAATGAACAAACAAAAATATTGTATATATCACATGGTGGCTGAGGCATGCAAAAAATCCCGAATTCGGTTTAAAAAAAAGATTCGTATGCGAAGGTTCTGTTCAGGTTGTTAAGTGTAATTTACAGTTTCCTTGTTGTTGAAATTTATGAATGTCAATCATAAAAAAACACACAAAACGAAATTAAATTATCCATCGTCAACGAAAGAGACTCTTGAACAAAGAAGGCATCATCACACAGCAATTACATTTTCATTAGAACTATTTTCATTTTACACATTTTTTTTCGGAATTTTATTTGGCCAACTGTAATTTGAGAGTGTTAATGGTCTTTGTAAATGGATTTGGCATTCATGGGCTGCTTCAACTACATAAATTCCCTTAAAACAATCACTCGACGGGCTCAGAGAGTCATTTCAATGAGAGAAGTGAGCGAATGATAACAATCAAAACCACTTGAAAAGTGAACTTTGTCGTTGGCGACAATTTTTCAATGATTTCTGAATAGTTTCCCATTTGATTAGTTCACGGCAATTAAGCTTGGACAAATCAATCAATGTTGAAAAATATCGGCTAACATATTCTCAACGAAAATCGGAAAGAATGTGCCTAAACAAAATTCTCTCGTTTGCTTGTGTCATTGCATGTAATTGATTCAATTAATGAAACTGATTAGTTTTTATAGGAAGCATTGACGTCGCCCGCACCCGCATTTTTAATCAAGAGGCATGGTCAAAGTGCGCGCGGCACACAATGTCGTCTATTATAATTTAAGAATATCTTGATTTTATTCAATGAGGAAGCTCCGAATGCGCGAATTCAAGAATAGAAAATGACGAATGGTTTGTTTATTAGACGCGCAATGTCTGACAAATCGCCTTCAATTGCAAAATTTTGAGTTATTTTTTGGTTCAATTGATTGGCAAATCTGTTATGTATTTAAAATCAATTTCGCATAAATTGATTGATTTGAAGAGATTGGAGCCCACTATCTCGTCAATATGCTTTGGAATTCGATTGAGAATTCAATTGGATCGGCAAATTGAATCGAATTCAATGTTGTGAATTTGTACACTATGACATTTTTTAACGATTTACCCCATTCGAATACGAATCATAAGTGGCACATAATGAATAATAAAGAAAGATAAACATATATCACAAGAGGAAAAAAACCGACAACACTTTACGAATCGCAAGTGTTCACACCAAATTTTGCAACACATGTAGTCCTCAAGTGAGCCCAATTTATTATTTATCTGAATGATGAGACATTTCTCAAAATATCATTTACAAGTGTGATTGTAAATTGAGATAAAGATAAAGATATTATTTGATATTTGGGT